AAAAAAAAAAAAAAAAGAACCAAGGTTAGGATTTCAATCATGTAAAAGCAATGTGGGCAAAAGAATGAAAATTAATTTAAATTCACTAAAGATAGCAAAATAACTATCAGAACAGATTATAACAGAAAGGCAACATAATCTTAAGAAAAATAAATTTGTATTCCATCAATTCTTATTAGTTACCAGTACCTCTGAAACAGCTTCTCTCCATGTTTTTATTAAAGGATTTCTCCACAACAATACAGTATAAAATGGCTACATCTTCAGGAAATCTAATTTTAACTGTTATCTTCAAATACCTGCCACAACTTTTAAAGTTTCAGATTTCAGAGCATTCCAGCTTTTGAATTAGAAGTGTTCAACTGGTGAAAACTATGCAAATACTCCAAACTCCCAATACCCCGAAATCTGAGTACTTCTGGTCCCAAGCATTTCAGATAAGGCACATTCAACCTTTATAAGCATCAAAACAATCAAAAATCCACTCACTACAAATTACCTGCACGTAAAGTTCAAGTCATTCTTTGGTGGCTATTTCAATGATTGAGTAAACAGTCAAAACAAAGACTGCTAAGAAGAAACCATATATCACATTTCCTTTTTTTTTTTTAAGTCTAATAATCCAAACGAAATGACATTTATAAAAGAAAAAACTAGAAACATAAGCTTTTAGCCCTGAAAGATTGTATGTATTACATCTTGCTTCTTATAGAAAGAATTTTTCCAATAACAGGTTGCATTTCTCTTTACCAGAAATTGTGTTTTCTAAGGATATAACAGTGGCAGGACTCACTCACCTCCACTATAGGATGCTTACTCCTATTTTCCCTAGAGTCTGACTATCTGGGCTCACAGAGATCAGGTCAATGCCTATTCTCACTGAGTCAAGGACTATACATACCTATTTTTCAACTGTCTGTCCCATATTAATACTGCAACTTTCTAAAATTCCTAATGATCTTTGTTAAAAGTGACCTTAACAATCAAAGTACTATACCTTTTTAAAGCAGTGACCTCCAATTTGTTGTGGCAGAACACAAAAGGGCTAAGAATTATAGTAATGAAAATAAATAACAAAGGGAAGTTATGGATTAACCCTTTTCTTAGGATCCAAAGGTGAGGGAGTAAGTTTTGATATTCAGAAGCTACTGAAGTAGTCAAACATCAAGAAATGGAAATGTTTGCAAAATAAAAGCAATGTGTTTATATTATGCATTAAAAATTAACAAGTAACCTGTATGTTCCTTTATTTCTTTGAAATAGGTAGGTACCTTAGTTATAGATACAAGAAAAAGGATGTGAAATAGGGTCTCCTGCCTCTAGTGATGCTTTGATGACACCTAATTAAGAACATCTGGTTTGGAAGAACAGCCAAAGGACCCAGAACATAAAAAAAATTAATTTTAAAAGACAACTCTCAAGATTATTTGGAACTGTTAGGAGGAGTAAAAATCAAAGGAATAGGACAATAATGGAATAGGAAGTATAAAAGTCATTCCAAACATACCTACTACGGTATGAGAATAGTCTTCTAACTCAGCACAGTGGCACATCATACCTGTATTCCCAGCAGCTCGGGAGGCTGAGGCAGGAGGATCACAAGTTCAAAGTCAGCCTCACCAACAGTGAGACACTAAGCAACTCAATGAGACCCTGTCTCTAAATAAAAATACAAAATAGAGCTAGGGATATGGCTCAGTGGTTGAGTACCCCTGAGTTCAATCCCCAGTACCACCTCCCCTCAAAAAAAAAGGGTTTCTACTCAAAAATTTAAGTTCAGAAGTAATCCTCAAATTTGTACCTTTCAAAAGAAAAGGGGTCACTGTTTTCATAGCCATTCAGCATAAAATATGTAAAAAAGTCTTTTTAAATCAATTTAGAAAATAGAATTCTGCAAGATAAATAAGCTGTTTAGAATCTAAAACCACTATTTGTATTTATAAATTTCCAGTTAACTGATTCTGAAATTTTGATTTTTAATCTCTCATAAATATGTATTACAAATGTTTCCTGCTACCAACAAACCAACAATTTCTTTAAACCAGAAGTTGCCTACTGACAATTCAACTCTTCAGGTTAATGTCTAGTTGACTATTCAATGACTTTTCTTCTTCCTTATCTGCTATTTCTGATCCCTATCCACTCCACAAGCATTCTGGTTCACTCCATTCTTAGTGCTTTTCTTGTTTGCTCTCCACCATTCATATTTCAACCCCGAATATTCAACAACTTGAAACATTACAAGTCTGAGACAGTAAGCAATCCATCTGAGGTATTCACTGTCCCTACAAATCCTTGATAATTTTTCAGAATTAAATAACTTGTTGAGTTTAAGTGATTAACAAAAGAACACAAATGACTAATAACTAAAAATTTAAGAAAACGTATAGTAATATTGCCAAGACAACACATAATTCAATCGTAAAGTTCCAACTGATCAAACCTCCTTAAGATCAAGAGTTTTGGATATCAAAAGGTACACTGGATTTGGCAAGTCCAAATGTTTACTTAGAAACTTTGTTCACAAGCCTAAGACTATATTAACTGCCAAATATGGAGATAGACAAGGATTTACCATCATCTCCCACTCTAGTATGTGTTCCCTTAACTGCTGTTAATGGTTCCTAGATCAGGTACTTGCAATTCTAACGTTTGAAAGACTAGAATGAGGCATTGTGCCTTTAACCTAAAACCAGTATTTTAACCCAAGTTAATTTCAATCACATTTCGGGAAATAATGGGACAACCTTCCTATTACAGCTTAAGTGCATGTGCAAAAGCACCTTGCCAAAATTCCGTTAAAAATGTAGTTACATCTTGGAGGAAAATCGATCTATGCGCAAAATTGTAGACGCGAATCTATATTCGCCCCAAAGCAGCATTGGGCCATCTTAAGAAATGTGCTTTTAGGGACGCAGGAAAAATTCGATCTGATTCCACTAACAAAATTCACAATCTAGGGAAGCTTAACTTCCCCTCCGTCCCCCTTGCTCCACGGGGGAAGAAAAAAGTGGAAGGAAAGAAACCCATTCCCTAAAACACCAAAATTTCTACTCCTGGGTCAACAGAGGATCCTCTGCCTAACAAGGGGACGGAAGAAGGCACGCGTTAAGACCCTAGTATCCGAACGCGTTCGGAATAAACCCGAAGAGAGGGGGGGTGTCATAGACGCCGGAACACTAAGCTCCGGGCAAGCGAAGCGGCGGCTGCCTTCAAACCGGGATTCTGTTTCCTTGCACAGAAATGGTGCCCGGAGGCCGCTACTTTCGCATCTGCGTCGCTTCTGCCTCCGCCGACACAGCCTCTTTTCCCCTCCCCCACGGGCGGGGCGGCGACCGCGTCCCCACTCCGAAGCAACCAGGAATAAGAGGCGCAAATGACTTGGAGACAAGGCTGGTGGCCTCCCCACCTCACAACATCATCTTTAGAAAGCCCACTCCCCCGTTTCCCGCATTAAGCTTTCATCGCTCCTTCGGGAGCTGCTGAGTCTCTCTGATCACCTCGCCATCTCATCCCTACACCAAATCCTAGCCCCACCTGTGCCCTCGGAGACCTCCGTCCGCACCACGCGCACTGGTCACCTTCCTTCCTACGAGGCCTCCCATTCCTCACCTTTTGAGGAAAGGCTTGGGTTCTCTCACGCACACACCGCAGCGTAGGCAGCCGGTAAGAACAATGTCTCTCTGCCGCAACACCTCGGACACCAGAGCTTACACACTGGACGGTTGCCGCGAGCCGCGGAGCGCGAAGGAAATGTCCCCTTCCGACCACCACACCGACCTCCCCTCCCGGCCCCCGTACACACCTCCAACCAACAGCGGCGGCGGGTACGTCGCGCGGAGGTGAGCAGGAGAGTAGCCGAGGATCGGCTGCAGCGGATTCTTCTCGCTCGCTGCCTCCTCCCCGCGACAAACCAGAAGCCTCGGAAGCCGGAGAACCGCGAGATCGCTTTCCTCACAACCACCTCTTCCCGGGCGCCAGACGCTGCGGCGAACGACAAGGAACACGGACGTCCCGCCCCCTTTGCCACCGCCCCCTCTTATTGTTTTACCCCTGCCGAAAGGGCCAGGGAACCCCCCAGCACAGCGTCAGCCAATCACGCATCTCCTTGGCGAGCCGGACCCAACCTTCTCGCGTCCCTCTGCGGAGCAGGCGCAGTACACCGCCGCGCTCGCGTACACTGGCGCCCGGAAAGCCGGGGAACCGGAACCGGCCTAAAGCCGGGGAGAGAGTCCGCTGATTTGACGTCACAAGGAGGCCGCTTTCTCCAGCGTTGGGGCTCTAGCCTCTCAGCCCTTCTTCCAGATGGCGCGAACAAGAGCTGGTTCCCTGCGGCGCTATGTCTTGCAGACTTATATTCCTGGTCCCTTTAGTAATGTTAATACGGGAGGGAATTTAGTAATCTCTCTGAACTAGGTGTTTTCAGTTTGCTGCTCTAGAGGAGCTTTAAGTCGAGCCTGTGGTTTCAGCTGTTTATACACAAAACTCATTTATTAATACATTCTAGGAAATAGAAGGTCATATCCTAATAGTTCAAAACAATTTAAGTTGCAAACCTACTAAGTGCTAGGCCCTGGGGTACTGGAAAAATGTGACATGGTCTCTACAGAAAGAAAAAGACTGTTTCTTTGTCCGTTATGTATTTACGCATAGCTAAGTACATATTAAGTATTTTATGGTATTAAGGCTAAAAGGTTTGAAATCCCAGGAAATATTAAGATTACAATCTTGTCCCACTTCTAGGACCAGTCTTGCCCCCAGGACTTAACGATGGACAATGACTCCTAGTTTTGATTACTGGAAATAACCAAATCTTTAAAGATGCCACTTTATCCCTTTCTGGAAACTTATTTTCAGAGAACCTTGGGACAGCGGAAGAATTTTGGAATGCAGAGAAGTAAAAAGGGCGATTAAGAAAGAAATTAATACCTACGTACCAAACATGATGCAAACATACACGTTTCATCAGTTTTTCTTAACAATCCTAAAAGGATGATTTTAACTTACTTTACAAATGTAAAAACAGGTGCACAAAAGCAATACCAACTTTGGGGCCTCCAAAATCTACAATGGCTTTACCTTATATTACTTAATATTCTTGTTGTGTGCAAAATATATGGGCAAACCATCACTTTTATTAGTATCTCAATCAAGTAGAAAACTCTTGGAATAGACAATGATGGCTTGGACTACTAGTAGCACTAATAGTGATGTGAAGTGTTTAATCCAGAACAAATGAAGGTAGAGGCTACAGACTTCACTGACATTGGCCGTGTGGTATCAGAAAAGAGAGTATTCAAGGATGATTTAAAAGTTTTCAGCCTGAGTGACTAAATGAATCCCATTAATACTGGCTTCCCTGGCTAGTCTTTGGGAATTGGGTTGCTTCATGAAGGTTATTGAGATGTTCCTTAAAGTATAATACATTACATGCAGATTACCTTTCAAATAAAAAGCATAGTTCTAATTACTATCTTTATGCCCACTTAACAGATAAGGAAATTGAGGTTCCGGGTGTCAAGTAACTTACCCAAAGACACACAGCTACTATTTCAAACACAAGCAGTCAACCTTCATAATCCATGTTCTTAACCATAAGCTACATAGAACATTTCTACTGTATTAATTACCATATTTACTTACCTTCTCTACTGCTGACTAGCATTTTAATTGTTTCAAATTTGGTACTCATGTGTAATGCTGTTATAAATATTCACCATGTACTCTGGTACAGTGGTTCTCAGACCTTATAGTGCATCAGAATCACTTGGAGTGTTTGTTAAAACATGCCTCTCAGAGTTTCTGATTCAGCAGGTCTGTGCTAAAACCTGGTAATTTGCATTTCTCACAAGTTCTCAGGTGTTGCTACTGCTGCTCTAGAGGCTGGCAAACTTTGCTGTGAAGGACCAGAGAGTAAATATTTTAGGTTTTGAGACACACCTGTGGTGTGGTCTTTGTTTCATATTCTGATCCACACCCCTTTATAAACCTTTTTCAAATGCAAGAAACTTTCTTAGCTTAGCTCTAGGGCTATACAAAAGCACGTTCAAACAACCCCTAGTCCAGGGTCTACACCAAAAAGTGAATTGACTGGGAAAAAGAAGATTCAGCTATCTTCAGTTTTAGTAAGTAACTCTAACCTATTCTCCTAAGTAGTCCTCTGAACACCTCTGATAGTACTGATAGCCTCTTCCCAGGTTCAGGCTCCTTTCAACATTTTAGGATGATTGCAGTAGCTGCTTAATTAACCTTCCTGCCTCTCAAAATAACCTCCATTATTTTTTTATACCATTCCAGCTCCTCCTCTGACATTCCAATTACATTCCCACCTCAAGGCTTTAAATGTGAACCTTTAGCAAAAGCTTGAGAAAAATCAAAGCATTTTAGACCCACTGATTTCCTCCAGTACCCACATTAAAATATCTTAAGAACTGGGAGTATAGCTGAGTGGTAGAGCACTTCCCTAGCATACATGAGGACCTGGGTTCAATCCCTAGCATTGCAAAAAAGAAAAAAGAAAAAAAATCTCACTCAAGCCTTCTAAAGGTGAGTTAGATATGAGTTCTCCTTATATAAAATCTTTAAAATTTCAATTAACTTCACACTACTTAAATCATCTATTAGCTTGTCTATATTCTGTAATTGTTTTGCATTCTCTCTTATAGTTCATAAATTCTCATTTTTATAAAAATATAAGCTAAACAACAGTCTATAGGTTCTCTGTTGTCAGATGTCTAGTTAGTAATAGCTTAGAAGAGTCTTTAAAATCATTCAGTAGCCACCACTGAATGACACAACATCAAGCATAAAGGCTCAGGATGGGCTAAAGTAATGGAAATATAGAATCCTCAGAGAACTGGAAAAGATGGAGAGAAGCAGCAATATGGGAGGAGAGAAGAAACAAACACAAAAAACAAGGAGAGACAGAATTAGAATAAAAGTTACTGTTAAGTGATAGTCCATTAGAAACACTGACTAGTACTTTTTTAATTTATCATTTAATATCTGATAACCCTTCTTGCCCTCTACATACATATACATCCCAGTAAGTCTCAAGAAGGAAGAATTCTCTTGGCCTCTTGGATTCAGCACCTGTTATGGTCACACTGAAAATGCTCTATATGGGCTGGGGATGTGGCTCAAGCGGTAGCACGCCCACCTGGCATGCATGCAGCCCAGCAATTCTCAGCACCACATACACACACAAGATGTTGTGTCTGCTGAAAACTGAAAAATAAATATTAAAAAAATTCTCTCAAAAAAAAAAAAAAAAAAAGAAAATGCTCTATGTGCATATGATGGCTTGTCTGACCACTGTGGGAGAACAGAGAGAAAGCAGTGTTTCTCTTGAGCTTTGAGTATTTTTAATGTTTTGGCTCTAAATTCCAGAACAGTATATGATGTGTTTATTGTTATTCTTTCTTGATTAATACTTTTTTTTTTTAAAGGCTGTGGATTTTACCTTCCCAATACTTTAGATCAAATCCCGTAGATTTTATTCACTATTGTTTTCTAAACAGACTGCAAATATAGTTAGACTTCTTTGATTCAGTTATTATTTAAAGAGAGTTAATGGAGAATAACTAAACATTTTGATTTCTAAATTTAAAGATTCTGGGGGTAAAAATGGGAGTTCATAACCCACTTGAATCAAATGTATGAAATATGATATGTCAAGAGCTTTGTAATGTTTTGAACAACCAATAAAAAAAAAAGATTCTGTTTTGCTTGTTAATTTTAATGCATTATGAGCCATGAGTGCAGCCTACTTGTTATGCTTTTTGGAATTTGCTAAGATTTTTCATGTAACCAAATATAGGTACAACTTTTTTAAGTTGTTCATAAAACTCTAGTACATTACAATCACCTTCTTTCATTTTTCCCTTCCTAATAGTTTTTGCATTAGACATTGTTATTTTTCTATTTGAAATAAATTCATAGATCCTGAAAAGTTGCAAAAAGAGTTTTTAAAAATCTCATACCTTTCACCAACCCTTCCTCAAATGTTAATATGTATTATATTTACTTTATCATTATCTTTTTCTCTCTCTCTCTCAGTAAGCTGCCAATTCCCTAAGTTCTTTGTATTTCCACTGTCTCATCCTGTACCTAGTACTGTGCTTGATATATTGGCGCTCAATGGTAATTACTGAATGAGTGAATCCAGGAGTTTCAAAGAAACCCATGGGCACTCTGCCAGACAACTAGTGAATTGCCATGTGACTTCTATCCATAAAAAAGAATCCAGACAACACTGTATTTCACAACTAGAAGAGATCTGATTTCAAAAAAATTTATGACATGATGTACCTTGACTCCTAAACACTTCAGTGTGTTTCTTAAAAGATAAAGGTATTCTCTTATGTAAATACAACATAATTATCAAAATTAGGTATTAACATTAATTAAGAGATTCAAACTTCATCAATTGTTCAAATAATATACTCTATAAGAAAAAAATTTTAATTTATTCTCTTTTCAGGATACAATTCAGGATTACAAATAACATTTATTTATCATGTCACCTTAGTCTTGTATCATCTGTTTCTCCATCTTTTTCTTTCATGACTTCAACATTTTAAAGAGTACAGGACAATTACTGTGAAGAATTCCCTTAAGTGTGACACCTTCTGGTGTTTCCTTATATCTAGGTTGTTTTTAACAATACCAGAGAAGCACTGTTCTTCTCAGCGCATCATATCAGAGGCACAGGATGTCCATTTGCCCCCTCTGTAGTGACGTTAGCTTTCTTTACTTGGTTAATGTCTTGTCTGCCAGGATTCTCCAGTGTAAAGTTACTACTATTTTCCTCTCTGTAATTAATAATTATCTTATGTGGAGTAATACTTTGAGACTGTGTTCACCCATCCATTTAAAAATATCCATGTATAATTCTTGCTTGAATCAAATTTGCTATAATGGCTGCCAAGTTGTGAGTTTTCTAATTCCATCATTCTTCCTACATTTATTAGCTGGAA